CCCTGGGCAACCCGACGGTTCGATCACGAGACCGCCTTCTGGAGGGCTCGGATGTCCTGCGCGCGCGGACAACGTTAACATGCTTTCTCCCTCACATGACAGAAATCCCAAGCATTGCAGGTGATGCGACAAGGAAGACTACCATTGGGAATGTCAGAGCTGAAAGAAGAATTACGGCCAGAGCTAGCCTGGGCGTGCACGGACACCTGGCAAATGCAAGTTTGCCAAACCTTGGAAGCTGCCTGACAAATCACGGACAGGCACCACCGGCTCCTGCCGAACCAGCAGCACCACCGCCCGCGGCACAAGCCGCACCACCACTTGTGCGGCTACGAGCACCAAGACCCGGCTCTAGAGCCGGACCCACAGCGGGCGCCAGCAGCCACGACATTACAGTAGGCAGACATGTTGCTGAACCTGCTGCAGGGCAACCGGCCCCGAGTGGAACTGGGAGTTCGGATGGCCACATCCGACTGCGACAGGTCAGAGTCAGACGTGGACGACAGCAAGGAGGAGATCCGCCTCCACCGCCACCAGCGGGGAACCCTGCTGCACGACCACGACTTCCAGACTGGTCAAGGTTCGACGTGCAAATCAGTCTACAAAAGTTACGAAGCCTTGACCCAAGCGTGGTAACACGCGAGCTGCGGAAGCTACATTTGCGTTGGTTCCATGCGAAAGAGCCTAAGATGAGCTCCATCTTAACCAAGATAGGTCTGGACAGTGTCAGACTCAACCTGTTTAAGTTCTCTGCGACATATGTCGGGAGTGCAGGGCTTCGGACAAGCCTGGGCGCACGGTTATGCCATCTACTGCACTGCCTGGCAAGTTCAACGAAGATGTTGAATGTGACCTTTTGTTCTACAAACAAGAACATAATATATATATATATATATATATATATATATATTCATATCGTCGGTCGTTGTATTCGATATGCTACTGGAATGGAGGTACCAGACAAGACGATGACCACTGTCTTGTATGCATACCATCAGTGCTGGATGCAGTTTGGACCTGCAAAGGCATTGTACTCCGATGGAGAGGGCGCCCTCCGCAACGACACTGCGGCAGCAGTCCTTATGGCAAAGGGCTCTGAACTAAGGATACGTGCGCGTGGACAACACGCTACGACGATCGAAGCCAGAAATGGCAGATTGCGCCATCTACTTCGCGGCATGGAAGCTGAACTGAACAGGTTAGACATACCTCTTGTGCTTACGCGACTACTACATGAGGCCTTGTTTGCCGCCAGCGCGCTCACTTTCTATGATGGGGTGTTTCCATACAACGCCCTGTTTGGACGGCAACCGGCAATGCGCCCTGACTTGCCTCTGCTGGATCACGAACAGCCGACGGAAACGTCGGAACATTCTCGTGACCAGGTGATACGCAAAGTATGCATTGAAGCTATCGCACAGGCCGCTGCAGTAGCCAAAACAATCGTGCATTGCGCGCTAAGACAACTATCACCGGTCAGCATTACTACGATGGAGGAGATCTTGTTGATTACCATCGCCCCACAACCACGAAGGACGACCGGGGAGGCTGGAATGGCCCATTCCCAGTCGTCAGAAACGATCCCGAGAGGGGTCAAGTCATCGTTCGAGTGGGGAACCGCGACGTTCAGGTCCAATGCGGCGATGCACGACATTCACTCTATATTGAAGCTTTGATAGCCAGAGAAATTGGCTCCGACAACACTGCATTACGGACAGTGTTGACGTTCGTGGCCAGTTTACGCGCGGGGGGACCTGCTATGGCATGTGGCCGTGTCCCGACCAAGACGGGGATGCTTCAGATGACATGTGCAAGCCGACTATTTCTTGTGGTACATTTGGTTCTACAGTACCTTATCAGAAACTTCTTCCGCGTTGAGAACGTAGTTTCGGTCGGGCTAGCCAAGAGTATCCCTAAGCTACCTCTGGTTGCTTACGCTGACAGTTGCACATTGGTTCACTATGACGACGGTGTGAATCCAGGATTCCACTCTCATGAAGCAGAAGGCACCGCTCTGAACATTCACGATATAACTGGATCAGCACATTCAAGAATCATTCAGTGCCTGAGTACTACCAAACCTCAAGCGGGCTTTGACCAGGATCTGACAAAGTCTGAGGAATTGGCGGATGCACCGACACCAGATGGAACCTCAAGGGGAGCCCCAGGTGCCGAACCACCCCAGGCGGACGGACGGCCTCCCAAGATATATGAGGAATCTGAGGCTGACCTCGAGGTACACATTATGAAAGTGTGGTATACAGAACTACAAGATGAAAGGGAACTATTGGAGGCAACTCCACTAGATGATCTTTCCACAGTACCCACACTGTAGCTGAAGAACAGCGGGGGCGCCCGCCTAATTGGGGGCACCCACGCGGCTCCGACATCGATGAGACGTATCATGTCCCACTGTGCTCCACGGTCGAAGATTGCAGTTGCGGATTGGACCCAGACGAAAATCGACAATATGTAGAACTCTGCTTCGCGGCAGAAATGTCAAATGTAGTCCTGTCCGAACAAAAGCACCGGATATTTGATGCCGGCCGTGCGATTACCATGCGAGTATACGTTGCCGCCGCTGCAAAGCGAGCTGCGGTCGTCAAGGAGGACGATCTCCTCGCGACGGCTGACGCCCAGGCGAACCCCGAGAAAGTATCGCAATCCTTATGCATTGAACTCAAGACATGGCTTGACAACAAGTGCTTCCTTCAACGTGCAAGATCTATCTAAAGCGTCAAACATCATGACTTCGAGGTCGTGTACACATGGAAGTTTGTGAAGAACGAGAGGGGCGAAATGGAGCGTGCCGTATGATTGCGCTTGGTGTTTCGAGGCTCCATGGGCCGCGAAGCCTTCGGTGTGGAAGCCTTCTCGGGAACAGCACGGCGGTCGAGCCAGAGACTTGTCGCGAGCGCGGCAGCGTGCAAGAAGCAATGGATCATTGCCTCCCTCGACATCGACATGGCCTCCCTGAAGGGTTGACCTACCAGGAACTTGCTGAGGCAACTGGTGAAAAGGAACGTGCGGCGTGTGTTGCTCTGCCGCCCGGTCGGCCACAGTGCTCCGAACTCTCCCAGGATCCGAACACTGCGACGAGTCGAAGCGCTGCTTGCAGTGCCTTAAGCCAGGCACTGGCACCAAAGATGCACCCCGAGCTTTCTCAGTAAAGATCAGAAGGACCACGAGAGGTTCTGGTCTCAGACCCACGTCCTACGACGAGGATTTCGAGACAGCAGTAACCTGCTCACGGCCAAACATGCTGATGACATCAATATGACCGACACCGAGGACACCATTGACAAGTGCGTCAAGTGCGTAGAAGACACACCTGGCACATGTAAACTCATCAAGCACACGTGCACCAATTGCGCGGTGAGATAGACCAAGGGCGAGGACGGCAGTGTTACTTCGGACCAAGACGAATACATGAAGCAGCTCCGTCCGATACAACATCCTGAACTTACAGGCGCCGACGCTGACGCCCAAGCATCCAAGATGGTTGCAGACATGTTCGTCAGCCTTAGAGGCGCATTGGCGTATGCATTAACCACCCAGGCATGGTTGATGGTGTATGTTGTCTCTCTACAGCGTGTCCAAGATACGACCAATTTACAAGTGCGACGACTGAACGCGATTACCAGGACATTGCAGGCCTGCCCTGAGAAGATCCCCTACCAGGCGATGACCCCTACGGGCGAGGTTGACCTGCGCAGCGACTCAGGTTGCCGACGCCTGAGCGGAGACGCCGATGACGAAGTCAAAGGCAATGGTACTCGCTGGGCGAACCTGCTACGGCGTGGAAGCGCGCCATCTGGCAAGCCCGTCGTTCACTTGATCGATGCGCACTGCAAGTCTCACCGCTTGCAGGTCCGCTCGAGCTATTCAGCAGAGACACTAGCAGCAGCCCACAACTTGGAGGACTTTTATTCCACGATCGTGACTTTGCACGAGCTCCACGCAGAGCCGCTAACTCCCACTCAGTCGAAAGACAGACTTGAGCTGGGTGGCCTGAGCATGAAGGTCACTTTGGCCATAGATGCCGAGTCTGTCTTTAAGTCCTTGTCCAGCAAAGACTTGAAGAAGCCGACTGAGTGTACTCTTTGAGAACACATCAGCTGGATACGACAGATGATGGAACGAGGAATCGTGCACAGTATTCAGTGGTGTGACTTCCGCCATCGGGCTGGCCAGACATCTCGTTCTTTAGCCGCCTGAGGAGTATTCGTATGCACAGTATAGTGCAGGCGAGGCAACTTGCGGGCGGGTACACCTTCCTTACGGCCCCGCCCTTTTGCTGCCCTTTTTGTGAATAGTCGCTGCTGTACCTGCTGTATAGAGGCGGCGTGTTCACGCTTCGTCCCCCTCCCCCCCGACTCTAAACTGAGCTGGGCATTGCATGTGAGTGGGAACGAGCGTGCATCCGCGGTTGCTTGGCTCAAAGTGGCCGGCCGCCCAGATCCGACTACACGTCAGCTCGAGGTGTACCATTTGCCATCGATACCAAAATTGCTTGAGATTGCTCGCCCCCTACTACTGGGACTATCGTTACTACGGTACAACAGAGCGGGAGCTGGACTTCGCCTAACGCGAAGCTGCTGCTTGGGCCTCCCAGCTCCTTTCAAACTGACCCCCCCCCCAGGACCCCACGAGACCCCCCAGGACCCCCCCCCCCTAGGTGGGGAAGGGATGAAGGGCTTCCCTTCGACTCGACCACGACCTCCATTACGACCTGGCTCGATTCACCTCGAGTTGACGCGCGAGCCAAAAAGGGTCTACAAGAGGACTTCTGGGAGTGGAACAGCAGATCGAATGAAAGCGAGAGCTGGTTTCCCAGGATCACTCTGGGACGACCCCGGCAATCATCAGATTCCCCCTCATCCGCTGGCTCATCGTTACCCCGCTCTTCTGTCTCTTCCTCAGATGCCACCTTCCCATGTTTCTGCCATCGTGTTTCCTCCTCGACCTCCTCCATCCGTCGTTGCCGACGCCCCCAGCAGGAGACAGTTTTCCTGGACCGCCCCAATGGGAGTTGCAGCCTCGTGTCGCGAGACGCGTGGGCGCGTTGGAAAATCAGGCCGCGCGTCTCCTCCAAGGAGCGCAGCACGCAGGGGCACCTGACGATCACTGTGCTTGGCCGCGCCGAGCGGACGAAGGACGAGGAGAGATTGGCGCCAGCGCCAAGCGACAAGAAGATTGGAGCTGATGCGCGCGACGGCTCTATAGACCAGCGCGGCCTCGACCTGGCCCGCCCGTCCATGAGAGTCATTGCGGTGCCGGCCAGCGCGACGTACGACCGGCCTGTAAAGCACGACGACGTCATCATCGTTCCGGAGTTCTTCTGTGCAGAGGACGATTGGAGTATATATTACCAGCTGATCAAGGAAATCAGGGGGGTCAACGTTAGGCTTGGACTCGGATCTCAGCGGTCGTCGGATATTGTCTAACGTTTTTGTTTGGAGTGTTCGTGGCATCTCGGGGTTCTCCAGCTCCGGGAAGCTCTCCCACAGCTGCGCCTCGTCGATGGCGTCCTGGGGGTGCCCGCATCGTCTTTCCAAGCGGCCGTTCGATCGCCGAGCTACGACCCGAGAATCACGGGGCAACGTTTTCGGGGGGCAGGCCCAGGGGAGGACGCATCGACCCCCGGTCGCCCACTGGTCGCCGATCGGGGCCCGATAGTTGCCGACCTACAGTGGGGGCCCATGCCAAGAAACATCCCGCTTGCCTCCAGGGCGCCCTGGGTTTCGATGGTTGGCGATGGGAAGCGCGACACTCCTAGACAAAAAACTACGGACGTCCTGGGGTTCCAGGGTTCGGTTTCTTGCGGAGGGTTTCTTGTGGTCGGGCCCTTCTCGCACTGGCGATGGAACGCCAGTTCAAGCCACTACTGGTCCCTCTCAGGAGATGCGCGATGTGCAGGCCTCTGGGACTCCCAAGGCCGAGTGGATGTCGTGGCATGAGGGCGCACACTTGCTGAGCAAGAATCCAGAAGGCTCGGTGACCTACCAAAAGGTGTTGGACCGAATGTGCACGTATTTCCACGTTGGTAAGAGGAATCGCGGCACCCGCTTCAATTGGTACCGGGATGGGTCGGACTGGAAGCCGTTCCACCATGATTCAGCTGCGTTCAACCCGATGCGTGCAAAGGACCAGAATTGCACAATCGGCATCTCCTTCGGAGCCCCTCGTGAGCTCGCATTCAGGCACGCAAAGACGGGGGAATTGCTGTATTTCCCACAGAAGAACGGCATGCTATTTTACTTTGGCCAGGACGCAAACATCATCTGGCAGCACGGCATCAATGCCTTGCCTGAACCGGAGCAGGATGGCAAGGGCCGCATCTCCATCATTTTGTGGGGCCTCTGCACAGCGACGGTGATCTTCTTGTCAAACTCATGCTAACTGAAACACTCTTGGCGTCACATAGCAGATGCAGTCTGTGGTCCGTGGCATCCCCGCAATTCAGCGTACACTCGCGAAGGTTATTTTTATTCAATCGCTTCGCTCATTCCGCCGGCCCATTTTTGGGTATTGCTGCGTCGACTGGCCGAGTGGTCGTTGGCGGTGTTGAGCTGCAGGGGCGTCGGCTGTTTTCTGAGGCGTTGCGTGGGGCATGATGCTGGGGCGATTCGTCTGGCTTTCCTGGGAGTTGTCTGAGGAATCGGTCGCTTTTCGCGGGGCGGCTGATTGTGTGGTGCTTTGTTGGACTTCGGGTGCCTTCGTGGGGGCTTGCTGGTCGTGGATGCTCACTCTGGGGCTCGTCGATGGGGCGCAGGGGACATTTGATGCGGCGGTGTTGGGGTCTCCTGGCAGGTGTCGCGGAAGCCTTTTGGAGGCAGTTTTGAAGCTTCTTGAGGCCTCGTCATAGCCGTTTGGGTGCCTTGGGGGCATGGTTTTGGACCTCTCGGGGGCTTCTTAGGACTTCTGGGTGTTTCTTGGGAGCCTGCTGGCGGTCTCGTAAGGGCCCTTGGGGTCGGAAAGCTTCAAATGTCATTTCGAGTTCCCTCTCTGGGGGCATCTTGGGGGCATGTTGAGCCATCTGAGGGCGATCTTGGGGGCTCTCGGGCAGTCTTGGACGCTGTGAACCTCCGAACATCGTCTATGCCAGGCATGCACGCTTCCCTGCGGAAATGGGACGAGCGTTGCTTGCTGTGGCCCTCTGGGAGGGCTTCTTGAGGCTCTGTTGGAGCTTCTCGGCGGCGTCTAGGGCCGTCTGGAGACCAGCATGGGCGTCTTGGAGCAAATTTTCGTCGACTCGGGGCCTCTTGGACCGTCTCGGGGGCGTCTCCGAGCCTTCTTGGCGCGTTCCTGGAGTGCTCTGGGAGGCCTGGAAGGCAGCCCTATTGGGTCGTCTTGGAGCCCTCTTGCGCCCTCTTGGGCGCATCTTTGGCGCATGTTGGGCCATCTTGGGGCGATCTTGGGGGGCTCTTGGGCAGTCTCGGACGCTGTGAACCTCCGAACGTCGTCCATGCCAGACATGCACGTTTTCCGGCGGAAATGGGACGAGCGTTGCTTGTTGGGGCCCTCGTGGAGCCTCTTGAGGCTCTTTTGGAGCTTCTCGGCGGCGTCTAGGGCCGTCTGGAGACCAGCACGGGCGTCTTGGAGCAAACTTTCGGCGACCCGGGGCCCGTTGGACCGTCTCGGGGGCGTCTCGGAGCCTTCTTGACGCGTTCCTGGAGCGCTCTGGGAGGCCTGGAAGGCAGCGCCGAGGAGGAAAACCATCTCTAAGCCGCACTGGCTGGGACCTGCTCGAGGTTTTTTCTGTTGCTCGGGAAGCCCCCAGAAGCCGCCCCGCGCGCGCGAACTAGAATAGATGGTTAACCAGTTACCGGAGATCTTAGCACGCCTCTGGCCCAGTGGGCCGGCGAATTCACAGTAACTTTGGGAGAGAAGTGTGCGCTCACGCAGATCCATCCCTCGTCTCGCACGTGTACGCTGGCTCGGGGCGAGCAATCGTCGTTGAGCTTACCTTCTCCTTCTCCTTTTCCAAGCCTCCCACACTGGGTCGGAGGATCGCGCCGCATGGCCGATGCAACGGCGATGCGGTTTGATGGGAATTCCCGTTGTCTCCACGCCGACAGACCCTATGCATCGGCGATGCAACGACCATGTTGGAGGCCTTCATCTGTCCAGGCGTGGGGGCATGATTTCGGACCAGCTCGGGTACCTGACTTCGGATCCGCCGTGTTTCCGCCGATTTCGTGCGCGTAGGGCGTGAAAAACGCCCTATCGTTCAAGCTTCTTTGATGCCAGTTTCCACCGTACGGTGCTGTCGCTGCTCTGACCCGTCTTTATCGGAAATGTCACCCCTCTTGGTTTGAGGCGGCAATTTCAGTTTCATTGTTTCGCATCGCGCTGGGTGCATTTCCGACACGGTGCCAGGTCGGAGAATTGGCCAGCGTATGGCAGGTGTCCCGCCCGGTCTGGGGGTGGGGCTTGCCGCCCCAGACCCCCGACGTCATGATTTGTCCCAACCATCTTGTGGTGTTGGGTCCTCGTTTTGAAGAAACAGTCCCCGCGTTCCTCCTCCTCCTCCTCCTCCTCCTCCTCCTCCTCCTCCTCCTCCTCCCCCTCCCCCTCCTCCCTCCTCCCATCCCTGCCTCTGCCCTCCGCATGTTCTAGTCGTTGTCATCATCATCAGCATCATCATCTTTATCTTCAGCATCACCATCATCAATATCATCAGCATCAGCATCGACATCAGCATCATCACCATCACCATCACCATCACCATCACCATCACCATCATCATCATCATCATCATCATCATCATCATCACCATCATCATCGACATCATCGTCATCGTCATCGTCATCGTCATCATCATCGTCATCATCATCACCATCATCATCATCATCATCATCATCATCATCATCGTCATCACAATCGTCATCAGCAGCATCATCATCAGCATCATCATAGGAGTCTTCAGGACGCGATGCTTGCATTGTCTGTTCTCTGCCGTACTTTTACGGCTCAAGCTTCTGGGTCACACGTGAACGATGCACCATTTTGTTGCGAGCTCGTGCGAGGCCTCTCCACCTCGCTCATCGTCCGCGGCGCATCCCAGCAGTGCCCCTCGTGCGAGCCTCATCTGGTGTGCGGCGTTTACCCCGTGTGCGGGTGTCTGGCCTGTCCCGATTGCTCGCCACACCGCCAGTGCCCGAGCCTGGAGTTCTCGCCGAACAGCGCCTTCCACCAGGAGGGCATCTCGCGGATCGTATTGCTGGGCTGCCTGCTGGTGGCCACGCGCGGCGTGTACCTCGCGGGGCGGCGCGAGGTGTCCTTCGGCTTCCCTCCGCCCGCCGCAGGGAGCAAGTCCCTCCTGAAGGCGACGCCGGGCCCCAGAGGCCCACCGCGCGCCAAGCTGCCCGCTGCGGCTGCAGCGCTGGAGGACATGCAGGAGGAGGCGAGGCGCCAGGCTAGGGTTGCCGCCGCGGCAGCTCAGGCCCCGGCGCTGAGCCCGCAGGTTCACCCCGTTTCGGCTGCCTTTGGGGTCGCCGCTGGCGATTTGGTGTACGTCCGGTACAGCTACGCCCAGCAGCTGTGGCACGAGCGGATCATCGCGGACCTCATCCCGAATGATGGACACCTGGTGGGAATCCTTACGCCTGACGGCGACGAGTACGACGAGGACTTCTCAGGTCCCGACATAGTGGAAGTTCGAGCGGGAGCCGGCGGCGGAGCTGGGGCTGCGCTTGCAGGAGTGGGGGCAGACCCGCTCTACACGTTCCGAGCGGTCCCCACGCCGGCGACCGCGACGGCGGCCCGCGCCTCGGCCTGTGGGCGCCATGGGGCAGCGCCGCCGCCTGGGCAGCTCGTGCCCGACGTCGGTGGGCGTGCTAGGCTTGCTGGAACCCCCGCCGAGGCCGCGGCTCCCGTTGCAGGAGGCGCCGCTGCTGCTGGTCCCGGATCACCTTGCGGAGCTGTAGGCGGAGCCGGTGCGCTCTTGCCAGCGGCCGGGCTTGGCGGCTTGGTGGCAGCTCTCGGAGGTGGCGGCCCCGCCCCTCCGGCTGGCGCCCTTGCTGCCGCCGCCAGCCCGCTGGTGGCTGCTCCGCCCCCCGCGCCTGCCGCTGCGGACGGCGGTGGACAGGACGCGGGCGCGCTGGCCGCCCCACCTGGCGCCGCAGGGGTTCCTGCTGCTCCCCCTGCTGGCCGCGCCCGCCGCCCTGGCTGCGCCGGGAGCGGGCGGTGCGCTTGGGGCGGCCGCCCCGGCTGGCGTGGCTGGCATCGGCTACTCCGACCTCCGCGTACTGCCGGTGCAGTACGATGGGCGACAGGCTGGTGCCTTTCGATCGGGCGACGCAGTTGTTCCGCGAGGACCTGTTCGCGGACTGGCCGATCAACGGCCCACGCTCGTGCTGATGGGTCTGCCGGTACATCGCGCAGAACGGAGGCTCGCCGACAGGACAGCACGCGCGCTGGAAGCACGACGCGAAGCTCCAATCGCAGGGCGCCGGGGTGTCAGAGCACGAGCGCTGCTGCCGACAGCTCGAGACGATGGCATGCTACGACCAGATCGACCTCCCTAACAGCGCCACCGCTGAACACCGGGCGCGGTCGTCGCAGGTGCAGGAGGAGCGGTGGCGAGGAGGACTCCGTCGGTGACGCCCACGTTACTACGGAGTGGATATCGTACAGGGGCGCGCGCGTGCCCTGAGCTGACGGAGTGGGTTGCGAAAGAGCTCTCCCGCGAGCATGCCTTGCTCAAGGAGCGCCGTAAAGCTAGGGAGGAACGAGAAGCGGCCCGCCAGGGCAAGAAGAAAAATGGCGCATGACCCCGAGCGCGGCCAGGTGCATCGGAGGGGGCGCCCTGAACTGCATTCTCGGGAGGGGCTCAGTGCCCCCCCTACCCCATCCATTTGTTTCTTCCTTTCTGTACCGCCGAGGGCTGACCGATAGAGGGATGCGTTTCCACTGCCGCCCGTAGATCGTCGCTCGCCCGCTGTGTGCGCGCCTGATGTTAGTCATGCTGTTAAGCAGAGGGCACGCCGCCGTGCGCGCGCGATGGACTGGGCGGATGGGGCCACCCGCAGTCTGAACCATCTGCATGGGTACCCGCAAGCCACCCGTGATAGTCCTCCTGGCTTCGCCTCTCCCCCTCTCAATTCTCTCGTCGCTTCGTGCGCCAGCGCTTTCTCGATTGTTTCAGGCAGGTGGGTGCCTTAGCAAGGGGGCCCTCCGCGAGCTTCTTGCTTGGTCGGCCACCTATCCTTACAGCTCTACCCGCAAGCCTCATGCGCGCCACCTCGCGGCATGGCCAGAGGTCGGATTCGAGCCCGCGCCTGTGGAATCGCGTCCGACGTCGGTCGATCGTGAATGGCTGAGGTCTTGGCGCGATAATTTGCTTATGCCAGCTGATGGGGCAGAGAAGC